AAATTATGTTTACCAAAATTATGTTTACCATGATAATACGTCATAGTATTATCATGGTAAACATAATTTTGGTAAACATAATTTTGTAGAATTAATTCGTACTTCTGGTAATATAATGTTGATAGAATTAATTCAAACTTTGGTAAACATAATGTTGGTAGAATTAATTCAAACTAGTAAACATAATTTTGGTAGAATTAATTCGTAACCCTTTGGGTAGTTACAAACAAATCAAACGCTTTATTTTATTTCAATCCCTGACATGATATAATCTAAACACTCTATAATGAATTTAAACTTAAGAAAAAATTAGTTGATAATAATCGTCATTCAATAATTTAATACAGTAATTGACCAAGTAAAAAAATAATACAAGTAAGTGTGGGAAAGTGAAAACCTGTATTGTGATATAGCTGGTTTATAGGCGAAAAAAAAACATCCAAAAAATTTTAAAAATTTCATATAAAAATAGTGCTAAATTTTCAGCATCAGCCAATTTCAGCATCAGCCCCAACAATTAATATTTGAAAAATACAAGTACACAACTTCTCAATTAAATATTTTGAATTAGGCATTATTTAACAAATTTACTTGCTTTTCTATTTTCATAGAGGAAAGCTATAGAAAATTAAATTGATTTTTTTTTGCAAACAATTTAAAAATTTAGTTAGAAAATTTATCAATAGAATTTTGTAAATATTTAAACAAATAAACGATGCAGTTAATTGAACTAAATTATTGTAAAATATTATTTAGATGAATTATTATAATTCTGCCTAAAGTAAAAAGTTTATTGTCTTTCTTTTGAACTTTCATCCTCAAAACTATCATGTCCAAATCTAATGAAGAAGCGAAAAAAGATCACAAAAAAAAAGACCAAAATAGGTGTCACCCATACTGCAAGAGATCACCTTAAATAAATAAAAAGGAATGAGGCTTTAATTATCTGCATTTTTTATAATTAAATTTTAAGTTTCTTAAAGTAAATAATGCATACTTAATATTTTCAATTGATTTAAATTAAATGTGAAAATTAAATCGGAACCATTACTAAATATAATTTTTTAAAAACCACATACAATACAAAAAAATATATTTTTAGAGCGAGCAGATTTATGCACTGTAGAATTCTAGACACTCCACTTGGGATATTCTTGGCTGACGGTCAGTAAAACGAGGTAGTTGATTGCCTTTATCAAGATGGACAAGACTATTTTCCTACCCGAAAATGAGTATATCTCAACCATTATTTTTTACATGGCACAGACTTAGCTAAAACTAAAAGAGAAATTGTCTTTGATAAAAAAACTAGGAAGGACTTTTCTCAAACTAAGTTTATTTTCCCACAATCATTTGCTGCTGAGTCTTGGTATAGCATGAATGGCAGCACCTTGCAAAATATTTTATCACCTATTTCTTTGGAAGAAATTGACAAAATAGTTAAAATTAACCAAGAAGAACTATTGAAAAGTTGTCAAACCATTCACCAAGTCATTCAAGAAGAAATTGAAATTGGAATTCCCCATGGAATATTTTTCTGGTTGGCTATTCTCAAGGAGATTCAACTGCTTTAGCTGCTAAATTAACTTTCTCTCAAGCTTTAGGTGGGTAATTTGTTTATCAGGTATTTTGCCTTTGTATCAAAGTGCCTGTCAGCAGAAAATAAAAAGCCAAAAACATCTGTGCTAATCTGCCATGGTGAAAAGGACAAACTCGTTCCTCTTTGGATTAGTCAAACTAGCGTAGAAATTTTAATAGACAATGATTATTTAGTTAAATTTAAAATTTATCCTTGAACTAGACACTGGTTAGGTAAACAGGGAATTTATGATTTGAGAGAATATTTACGAGAAAAGCTCTATCAATAAGACTCTATCAAAAATGAGGTTGCTCCCCAAATATCTTTCCAAAACAAGATAAATTTAGAAACTAATAAGTTAACTGCAAAAAGCACATAATTCAGAAACAAAGCCAAGATATGAAAAACTATAAAAGAATAAGTTGATAGATAAAAACACCAATCAAGTAAATGAAAATGATAAATGAAAACATGTATTAAAGGGCGCTGTTGTTTCACTTAAACAATATTAACACAATCGATTTATTTTCATAAAAAGCAAGATAAACAATTACAGTTCAAATAAATAGTCGAACCTACTGTAATACTGAACAAAAGTTCTTCAAAAATACATCTCCAACTAGACATGCTCTTCTTGTTAGTTGACTTATTTTAAATAATTAAAAACTCAATCTACTATTTTTTTCATATCAACTAAGAATTCTTTTTTTGTTGGTAATCTTTTATTAATACTTCAATATAAATCTTAAAAGAAATAAACAATGCTTCTGATATTCTCATTATATTCTTGTTTTTGAATTGAATTTTGTCACAATAATTTCTTGCAATAGATCGATTCAATTATCCAGAAATTAAAGAAACTCTCAAGCGGATGTTTTAGTTGTGATGCACAAACAACTTAAATAAATTATCTACAAGCGTTTTTTAAAAATGTCTTCAATTTCACATAATCCTATAGAAAACATTTATAAAAGTTGCATATCAAACCAAAGATCTTTGAAAGAATACCTGTAAAAAACTTTTATTGTTCTACCTGTGGCAAACAATTTATATGTAGCATTTCGTGAAAGATTAATTTTTACTGTGCTCGCTTGAAGTTAAAAAGAAACTTGATTTATTTTGCAAACTAAAAAATCCATAATTATAGTATCTGCTATGATGGATATCTATATATTAACGTTAATGCTAGCATAACTTTTGTAATGCCGGTACAATTATCATGTGACAATGCATTATTACAGTTTCGTAATTTTGTGTAATACAAAACGTTGGTCAACATTAGTAATGTTGGTCAAAGTTAGAGGTTAACATTGGTCAAGGTTAGAGATTAAAGTTGGTCAACAATGAGGTTAATGTTGGTCAGCATTAGAGGTTAGCTTTGGTCAAGATTAGAGGTTAACGTTGGTCAAGATTAGAGGTTAACGTTGGTCAAGGTTAGAGGCTAATGTTGGTCAACATTAGAGGTTAACGTTAGAGGTTAACGTTGGACAACAATAGGGGTTAATATTGGTCAACATAAGAGGCTAATGTTGGTCAAGGTTAGAGACTAATGTTGGTCAAGGTTAGATTAATGTTGGTCAACATTAGAGGTTAACATTAGAAGTTAAAGTTTGGTGTCAACGTTAGAGTTTAACGTTGGTCAAGGTTAGAGATTAATTTTGCCCGAAATTATATAAATATGCATACCATTATTATCGGTCAGTATGGTATCCAGAATTCTGCGGTGCATAATTCTGCTTGCTCTAAAAATATTTTTTTGTATTATCTCCAAACTAAACACAATACAAAAAAAATATTTTTAGAGCGAGAATTTCAGCTCTTAGATTGTTGTATTATTCTTGAAGCGTATTATTCTTGAAAATTGAAATTTCAATTTAATAGAATGAAATTTTCATTACAATCTGAAGAATTAATACATAATCCTAATTGAAAATAATCAGAAAATTAGTAAAATTCATTCAAATTATTTTTCGGTTGCAAGGGTGTGGTGACTTAGTGAAGTGGTGAAGTTGTCGCACCCCCAAGCGGTTGAGTACAAGTTCAATTCCCACTG